GCGCCACATGGGGGCGCGCAAGGCGCTGAAGGGGGCGGCCGCCGTAATCGACGACGCCGCGGCCGCGCTGCGCGACGCGGGCGAGGCGGCGGCGGTCGTGGATGACGAGGCGGCGGCGCTCGCACGCATCGCCGCCGAGCGCGAGGCGGCGGCGCGCGCGGCGGCGGCGGCGCGGGCCGAGGCGGCGGCCAAGGCGCGGGCGGAGGCGGAGGCGGCGGCGAAGGCCAAGGCGGAGGCGGCGCAGCAGGTCCCGGCGCGCGTGGTCGGCAGCCCGTGGGACCGCTGATGACGTTGCCGAGATTACAATACACTGATCTGCGGAGCGCTCCTCACACATTAAATGGGAGGGGAGGGGGGCAGGGTGGTCGCCCACACCCGCAGCAGGAGCGGCCGCCCCTCCCGGCATGCCCGCAGCAGGCAGCGGGCTCAGGTTTTGCGGCTGACCTCGAGAGGGGCCGAGAGGGCGGAGGACCATCTCATTTTGCGAGGGTTTTTGAAGTCGAAGCTCACAGCGCCGCTGTTGGGGCTGTCAGTTGGGGCTGTCGTGCCGAGCACGGATGACTCACCCCCTGGGCACGCCGCCAGCAGCTGCGGTGCCGCGCAGAACAGAGCACGCGCGGACATCCTACTCTGGGATTGAATGACGGTTTGACTGCCTGCATCTGGGCTAGGCGAGCGCCGATCAGGCTGCACGCTCGACGTTTTGATTGCGAGAGGAATGGCCGTCGCTGGGGACAGCCCCCCCCCCTGCTGGAGCGCTCTGGCGTCGCTGCCGCGATGCTGCGCCTCGTCTGTACCCGGGCGCTGCGTCTGCGGCATGTTTTCGGTGAGGCGACGCAGGCACGGCGGAGCGGGCATCCCCCCGTCGGCCACGCGCTGCCATGCACTTTTTGGGATAGCACCGTGTTGCTGCATAGCCGGGGATCCGTCTGCCGCTGTTGTGCGCGTGGCGCTGCCTGCTCATGCATGAACGACACGCTTTGCTGCAAGACCGGCAAGGCACAGGATGCTACGCAACCATATCCCATCGGCGTTGTGAAGCAGTTTTGCTAGTGCCAGGCCTGGACTCAGCTTTTTGTGGGCGTGCGGACCCAAAGATGATCAAGTGTTTGTAAAGGATGACCATGGTGTCTCTGCTGCATGGTGTAATCATCGTTCCTTTCCCGAATGGCCTCCACATGGCTGGTGCGCAGGGTCCTACCAAAGGGCAGTCGATGACTCGGCGCGAACTGTTGTTGATGGGTGAAGAGTTGGGAGCGCCTGCGAGGGCCGCGGCTGCACGGAGTCGGCAAGGTGACCTGCTGCAGCATGCACCGCTAGCCGGGGTCTGGTGCTGCTCATGATTGGCTACTTGATGTTGGAGGTCAAAACCGTCTTGCACAGCGGACTCGCGTACGCTCACTGCATCGACGCCTTCACGCCTCACTGCGCGAGATTGTGGCAGCAAGCAGTGCCGCAATGCGCGCGTCAGCCACAAGGCGCAGAGCTCGTGGCTTACACTGCGATCAGCACCCACCCCGCTTCTCTTCAGCTGCACACAAACTACCTGCACCGCGTGTCGCTGTACTGGTATCCCCTGGTCACCGCCAGTTTTTGACCGGATTGACCACACACCAAAAGCGAGCCCATTGCCGACACACTCAGCCAATACTTGTAATAACATTCTATTATCTTCACATAATCAAGCTGATATTGGTGGCGGCAGGCTGCAGGAGGCATAGTGCCACGGGTGCCCACCAATGGTGGACTGATCTTGCGAGTGCTTTGAGACCGACACATACAATTGCACCATGTAGGTAATAAAAAATCCTGTTCTGTTCGTATACAACTTCATCAACGAAAAGTTGCCGCCCACGTTCGGCTTCACACGGCGAAGCAAACTCATGCAGTCGCTCCTGCGGGCTGGAGCGCGTCGGAATCTAGTAACCCTGCAGATTCCTGTGCTCTCACGTTGTGCAACGCCGCGTCTTATGAAGCGGCGGCTTTCCGAACCGGCAGCGACGGTGGAGGCGGCGGCAGAGGCGGCGCCACCCGCAGCTGATGCAAGTGCGGCACAGCAACATGAGAGGAAGCAGCATGAGCAGAAGCAGCAGCAGCAGCAGCAGCAGCAGCAGCAGGTACCGGCGCAGATGAAAGGCGTTACAATCGTCAAACCCGAGGAGTATGAAACCCAGCTCGAAGCCAAGCTGGAGCGCGTGCGCGCCATCTTTTCTGGGTTTGACCTGCCGCCCGTCGAGGTCCACCGCAGTGCGCCGATTCACTACCGCCAGCGCGCGGAGTTCAGGCGAGCGATTGGGGAGCGCCATGGCGGTAGCGGCCGCGTTGGGCCCGCTCCTGGCGGCGTGACGGCAGCAAACACACAATGGCATCAGTGAAGGCACATCAGCCATTTGCACTGCGCACAGACGCCTCGGACCCATCAACGGGCCTCCAAAACACATACGCCCCCATCGCAGGGTGTGGCACGAGGGCGGCAGCTGCCACTATGTCATGTTTGGTGTCCCCGAGGGCGCCAAGGCGCCGCAGCGCTACCGTGTCGACTCATTTCCCGTTGGGTCGGAGGTCATGAACGTGCTCATGGCCGAAGTGATGAGGGCCTGCGCAGCTTCCGAGCAGCTGCGCAGGAAGCTGTACCAGGCAAGCTTTGTACCTTGCAAGTCTGGCGGCTGGCAGTGGCGCCCGCCCGCTCCGCTGCATGCCTGTCTTGCCTGCCAGGGGGGCGGCCACGCAGCTGCACACGTGGTGCCACCGCAACTTGCTTGGAATCGCACACCAAGCACTTGCAACGGGAAGCACATTTATGCCCCTTCAACACAATCACCCTGGTACGTGCCCACAAAACCACTCATCTACCCATCTACCACTCCCCTTCACACACAAACACACACACGCTTCAACTCATCCTCATGCATGCGCATGTGCGAACCCGCAGGTCAACATCCACACAGCCCTCAGCGGCGACGCCATGGTCACAATGGTGTACCACAAGCAGCTCGGGGACGAGTGGAGCGCCGCGGCGCGCGACCTGAGGTCTCAGCTGCGCGCAGCTGTGGAGGCGCACTTCGCCAGCAAGCAGCAGCAGCGGGAGCAGCAGCAGGAGCAGCAGCAGCAGAGTGCGCGGGCGCTGCACGTCATCGGGCGCAGCCACAAGCAGAAGGTCGAGCTGGATGAGGGCTTTGTGACTGAGCGGCTGCTGGTCAATGCCAGGGAGCTCGTCTACAAGTGAGAGGCCAGGGGGATTTGAAGGGTGTGGTGAGGGTACCGAGCGCTGTGGGGATGAGTGTATGCACGCGCGAGGCGCAAGAAGTCTGGATTCCGCCCCCGTCACGGCGTGCCCCCATCACAAACAACCACCGCCCCTTCGACCCACCCCCGCCCGCGCACCACAGGCAGGTGGAGGGGGCGTTCTCGCAGCCCAACTCGGGCATCGCCGCCCAGATGCTCAGCTGGGCGCAGGACGTGACGCGCGGCAGCAGCGACCATGACATGCTGGGTGCGCCCTGGGGCCAGCCGTTGGGTGCGGCCTGCAGCCGGTTTCGGGCCCAATGAAATGGAGGAACAGCCCTGCCCTCCGTGGAGCATGGCTTGGTGGCACACCAAGTATATCGCGCATTGCATGTGTGATATGATGCAATGCGTGATTCTGCCAACCGTGTTGAAGCAACATGTCAAACCTTTGCCTTGTGATCGCATGCGAACACGCACACGCGCACACACACATACACACACACACATAAACACACACATATACACACACACCACACACACCACATGCACATACATGCACGCAGAGCTGTACTGCGGCAACGGGAACTTCACGGTGGCCCTGGCGCCGTGCTTTCGACAGGTGCATGCGGCGCTATACACCTCGCGGACACACTCAACACACTCAACACCCATTTGCATCCTTGCTTCTGCATTTCTGCCAGCTGCGGCTCGTGCAATGTTTCCACGCCCACATGCTTGTGACGACATGTAATCATGCCTGCACGCCCAGCCTGTCATCAAACCCTCCTGCTTCAGTCACCATAAAAACACCGCTGTCCCGTACCCCCGCCTCTGTCTTCCAGCAAGGCCGTCTGCCAACAACCCCCCCCCCTCCTACCCATGCCCTCCAGGTCATTGCCACCGAGGTATCCAAGGCATCCGTCGAGGCCGCGCGCTTCAACCTCACCGCCAACGGCGCCGAGAACGTCTTCATCGCCCGCATGGCGGCCCACGAGTTCACCGAGACCTGGAAGTCCAAGGGCACGCGCAATCGCCTCAAGGGGATGACGCCCTGGGACGAGCTCGAGCTGCGGACGCTCCTGGTGGACCCCCCGCGCGCCGGGCTGGACGACGAGTCGCGGCAGCTGCTCGGCGACTTCTCGAACGTGGTGTACATCAGCTGCAACCCGGAGACGCTCGCGCGGGACATGGGGGCGGTGGCGGCGACGCACCGGGTGGCGCGGTTTGCGGTTTTTGACCAGTTCCCTTACACAGACCACGTTGAGTGCGGCGCCTACCTCGTGTGGAGATGATGCTCAAGAGAAGGGACGCTTTGACCATGCGCCTGCTTTTCTACATGCTTTTCTTGTTCTCTTGACTGCTCTTTCTCTTTGAGAGCGTGCCTGCTGGGCTTCTGCTGGGTTTTCCGGGTCGATTAGCACGCGTCAACACAATATAGCAGTTCACCAGCTCGCCCAGCTGCCCACTCCACAAACGGCTTTGTCAATTGTTACCACGGCACCTCTGCAAGCAAACGCATGCATGCACATGAACTGGAAAACCGCATGCAAACAGCGCGCAGCTGCAGCGGGCTCGTGGAAAGGAAATAGCAGCCTGAATCCCGCCAGCCTCCAAGTTGCACAACGGTACGCAGGCATATCAAAGGGCGGCCAGGCGCAAGTGGCGCGCGGTCAGAACAGGCGATTCCCGAGCATCGACAGCCGCTTCCACCTGGGCTTCCCAAACTCGTACGTCAGCAGCGACCGCATGCGGCTGCCGATCGGCGCGCCCTTCTCGTTCAGCAGCACGCAGCTGTTCCGCAGGAACTGGAAGTGCGCGCCGTTGGGGCGCCGCGTGGGGTATTTTGTCTCGACGACGACGGCCTTCTTCATCTGGCCCGCGGCGACCTTCCCGCCTTTCGCCTCCTTGATGGCGACCTTCACGATGGACCCGAGCTTGGCGGCGGAGAAGCGGGTCCAGATCACCTGGCCGACGCGCGCGCCGGAGTTGTCGACGACGCGCAGGAAGGCGCCCTTCGGGATCATGGCTGCCGCGGGCGCGGCTGCTGCTGCTGCCGGGGGGGCGGCCCGCCAGGTGCAGCCCTGTGCGGGGGTGCCGCCGGCCCGAGGGCGATTGTGCGGGGCGTCTGCTGAGGAGGGCTGCGACGGTCTCTAATGTGCGCTGACCCGTCCTCAGGCGGGGCTGTCGTGCTGATGAGGGCGTGAGGCACACCCTGCAGCGACTGCGGTGCGCCGCGGCAACGCTGGCACCACGCGCTGGGGCTGGTCGTGGGTAATTCAGCACCTTGCTGCCCACGGGCCCTCCTTTTGGTTTCAATTCTCAAGCGCGACAGGTGCTGCGGGTTCTTGGATGCAGCTCGAGCTCGCTGCAAGCTAGTGATCTTGCCGAAGGCGAGCTACCCTTTTCGTGTCTACCACTCCCAAAAGTGATGTTTTGGGCTTCCAGCCATACGCTGCATACGGTACACTACAGTGTATCAGAATCCAACAGCCACCTTGGGTGACACTTGTGCAGGTGTCAGTCACTTCCGCAGTCAGCCAGCTACATGCAGCGAAGCAATGAGAAGATGCACATTACACGCGGCTGCCACATTGAATCCGGACCGCTGGCTCACCTCGAAGCGCATCTCTGGCTGTGATCCCATTGTCTGGTCAATCAAGGAGTCAAAACATGGACCCCTGGCTGAAAAGGTGCGCAACATGTCAGTCATCGACAAATCAACCATATCTGCATACGCAATGTCACTCTTGAAGGTTTAAGCCCGTGCATAAGCCTGCTGTCCCGCTGCCGCTGGAGGTGGCGTTGTCCGCAGAATACATCAGTTGCAGGGGGGAGGGCTGGACTGCAGCTTACCATTGAATCTGCACGTCAACACGCAGAGGTGACAACTGCACACCCACATACAGCCTATCCCATTGTCACCACGTCGTTTCCTTTGCAGGGGCAGGTGATTGTAGCCCTCTCAGCACAAGCTGCCATAAGTGTGGCTGACCCCTGCAAATGGACCATCAATGCAGTCATCTTGCTACTACGTACCTGCGCAGCACCCCGCCGCAGAAATCTCGCAATCCCAGCCTGCCGTGCATGCGCATCCTGTCTTGATGCAACCCATGGGCCCGTGCGCACCTGCTGCGTGAACCTAGGTGGCTTCACCCCCTCGAATCCTGCCGCCTAATGAATTGACCATGAAACATACTCATCCACAAACTAGCAAAGACCTGCAAAGGCCCGCAAAGCCCCTGGAGCCAGAGCTGCCCTAGTCATTGAGCAGCGCGATGCGAGCAGCTTCACTTTAAGCAGCTACCTTGAAACTTTCCCAAACCTGCAGGAAAGCGCTGACACGGCTGTGCTAGGATCATTATTGTAGCTAACTCTCGTATTTTAAGGCTTCTTTGTGCTAGCACCCATTTTTTAAGTGAACCGCAGTCTGCTTGGCCTGGGAACCTTTGAAACGGACGCCAGATCGCGCTGCGGACCATTGAACAAATCTTATAGCAGGTAATTATGTATGGAGATTGCTGCTCAAACTCCTCCCGTTGCCGGGGTTGGTGCAGCAAGCAGTGCTGTGCTGCTGCACAAGCAGCAAGCATGCCTCCTGCAGCAGCGGAGCTTTTCTGATTGGACTGGAGCAAAATCTAAACACTTTTGTGGATGCTCGATCATCTTCACTGCCGTTTTGACCTCTGGCGTGCCACGACTCGGGCCGTTTCTATGTGGCCTGCAAGGCTTCAAGAACACGTATGACTGCCAAACATGGGTTAGGCTCTCGTATCAAGCCGTGAACTGCACCGCGGCCCCCATCCCCTTGCAGCCATGTCGGACGGCATCAGCCGCATCGAGCTCAAGGCGGGCAGCGCGTACGCGCGCTACAGCGACGAGCAAGAGGACCGCGGCCTGCTGCGCACGGCGCCAGACATCGGTGGCAATGGGCGCGAGGAGGTGTCGCCGGCGCGCAAGGCGTACGATGACGAGGGCCTGCTGCCCGTCATGATTGAGAACGGACTCGAGAAGATCGGCGTGCTGTGAGTTGACTGCGCGCGTCGCATGCGACTGGCCGCGCATGCAGCCGCGCGGCCTCTGGAATACTCGCAGCCGCTTGTGCTTGGGGTGCTCCGCGGGCGCGGCGCCACCACGGCATCGCCCTCGTCGCAGCGGGCACACCGCCACCCACCGCCCCGAAGTTCGACCCGGCCCTGCACCCTGCGCCCCCGGAACCCTCTCGGCCCCCCAGCACCCAGGTGCAGAAGGTGCTGGATCACACCGGCCAGATCAGGAACGAGCTGTTCCGCGCCCTCATCGCCGAATTCATGGGCACGCTCCTCTTCCAAATCTTCGGTGGCGCCGCGCCCCCGAAGGACACGACCGCGCCTGCCGCCAACGGCTTTGCACTCGTCGCCATCATCTACGCGTTTGCCAACATCAGCGGCGCGCACCTGAACCCGGCGGTGACCTTCTCGCTCATGTGCACGGGGCACATGACTTGGTGGAGGGGCCTGCTGTACATCATAGTGCAGGTGGGTGGCTGGCCGGCACTCCAGTAGGTCATCCGCCAGCCGGCCCACACACGAGTGATTGTCGCCGGCCTCACGGCCCAAGGCACAGCGCGGGGCCGCCCTGGTCCCTCAAAGCCGCGCTCACAGGCATGCAGCGGATGCTCTGGCGCGGCGGTGCCCATGCAGCCGCCAGCCTCGAGGGGCCGCGCGAGCCCGCCAGCGCCGGCAGGGACGCGCCCAGCAACTTGGGGAGGGCGTGATGCTGGTCAACTGGCAAAGCCCAGGAGCAGTTCGCCTCGACCATGTACCTGCACCCAACCTTGCCCTGCCCCATCCCATGTCCGCCCTCATGCAATCTCCAGATCCTGGGCTCCATCTTCGGCTCCCTGATCTACACGGGCCTCATCCCTGGCCTGCACCTGCTGCAGAAGGACTTCCAGGGCGGCATCGCGCCCGGCTGCTTCGGCCCCGCGCCCGGCGTCAACAACAGCGAGGTGCGCGGCTGCAGGGGGGGGACGCGGGAGCTAGAGTATATCCACGCGTGCGATAGCCGGCACAGCGGCCTCTGTGTCGGCTGGCGCCCCTTTGCGCCGCTTGCGGACGCTTTTGCAGGTGTACCGGCGCGCAATGGGAAGATGCATCCCTGCAATCCGCGGCCACCCACTCTGACGTGGCAGGTCTTTGGCTGGGAGCTCCTCATGACGTTCCTGCTGGTGATGACGGTGTACGCCGCCGCCGTCGCCAAGCCCGGCCACGGCAACACCGCGCCCCTCGCCATCGGCCTCTCCCTCTACGCCGCCGCCCTCACCGGTGAGCAGCTGCACGCCCCTTGCAGCCCACCCTCCCCCACCACGCGGCGGCCCGCCGCCTGCGTTGATGTTATTTTACCTTGTGACGCGGCGGGCGTGGTGGACGCCGAGCTTTGCAGCTAAAGCCTGAAACCGTCTGGTCTGCCGTCAGCCCTGCTTGGGCGGGCGGGCCGCCTCTGCCAGTGTACGAACTGACACCCCCGACCACCCACTCTCATATCCCCGCCCCCGCCCAGGCGGCCCCTACACCGGCGCCTCGCTGAACCCCGCGCGCACCATCGGCCCGGCCTGCGTGTTTGCCTGCAACGTGGGAGTCTCCTTCCTGTATATCGGGGCCGAGTTCTTTGGCGCGGCGCTGGCCGCTGGCCTGGCCATCTTCTTGTATGGCCGCAACCCCGTCGGCCGCGCGGCGCCCAACCGCGGTTGAGGCGCTGACGCGCGTGAACGGCTCTAGGGTGCGGGCGCCGGCTGCGCCCCCGGCGAGGGGTGGCCGCGACACATGCTGACATGCAGGCGTTTTGACCGTGCGGATTTTTTTATGTTGCACGTTGCTTGCTTTGGGGGGTGCGGCGTTTCATTGGTAAGGTTCCCTTCACAATCAAGGGACAAGTTACTGGAGGATCATTGCCGTGCGGCGACAAAGTGGCTGGTGGGACCCACGTGCTGCACAGCGCGCACGTGAACGGCCCCGGCTCTAAATCACAAGGCCCGGCTGCTGCAATAATGCAGCCGTGCCATGCGCCGCATGGGCGCGCATGCTCCTTCACAGGGCCCATCATGACTATATGCGGCTGTGTGTTGTGTAAAATCAACACGGCAGCAGCGAATGACAGGCACGTGCACGAGGCGGTCGGCCACGTGATTGCAGAAGTGCGGAAGAGGGGACAAGGTGAGGGAGGGCTTGCATCCCTGTGCGGCGCATGCGCTCCACTTACAAAGAGGGGGCGGCCTTGTCACACACGAGGCCGCCTGACCCCAGCCCACGAAGCCCAAGGAATAGCGACAGAGCCCGTGCGCCAGAGAGCCACTGGTGCCTGCACGCCCCGTGCGGGTCACGACGCGCGTCTGCTGGTTGGCTGGCTGCAGCCGGGCAGCAGGAGCTTTTAGAACAATAGAAAGGGATAGGGTGGGCGACCCAGGAATTCGAACTGGGAGCCGTGCCTTGGTTGGAACATATGTCATGTGATCAAGTGGCTGGGAAACAGTCATGGACCACGCATGCAGAGGGTGACGTGATTGTACAGCTGCAGTACAGCGCCAGTACTGCGCTGGCTGAGCGGCATGGAGCGGCACACCGCACAGGCGGGGGCGGCCCGCCTGCGTCGGGCGTGTGTACGGGAAGCGCACAGCCTTGCCTTGTGGAAAAACTATGCGGGGGGTCGAGGTCAGCGGCTTGTCAGGTAGACACGCACAGGCTTGGCGCCTCTGGGCGTGCCCGCGCCAGCAGCCGCGCCGGCCGCGCCGCCGACGACTTTGGGCGTCGAAGGCTGCTTTGTAATGCTTTGGTCTGGGCCTTTCCCATTGGGCCCATCCACCCGCTTCGGCCCTGCAGACGCAAGCCACGCCCCGCCGCCGGTGGCGCCGCCGCCGGCGGTGCTCTCGTGCCGCTCGATCGCCGCTGCGACGGTGCCGCCAAACGCGGGCGCGTCCTCCTCCGCGTCGGGCTCGCCGCCGCCGCCCTCAGCCGCCCCGCGCCTGCCCAGCTTCGACTCCGCGGCGGCGGCCAGCAGCAGTGCCTCGACCTTTTCTCTAACTGCCAAGGCCAGCCGTTCTTTCAGGTGGTTGCAGTGCTGCTGCAGTGACGTCAGCACGGCGTCGCGCTCCTCCAGCTCCCGCTGGAGCTCCAGGACCTGGGGGATGAGGTGATGCACATGGGCTCATGGGATCGGACGGGAGCTATGGTGGCGCCAGATCACATTTACAAGCTTCAGAAACGGAGAGATGTGGCAAAAACCATCATGATGCCCAGCGATGACAGCCGTGGTAGCATGGCGCAGGCCCAAGCCTGTGTAATATTTGATTTTGTGTTGTGCACGAGGTCAGGGTGCGAATGCCCCCACGCACCCGGTGGTCGCGCTGCAGCTGGTGACCGGATCCATGGGGGCCGGCGCCGCCGGACCGCTCCGAGTCCACAGAGTGGGCGGGGGTGGCAGGCGCGAGGTCCTGGGTGGGGAGCAGGGGGCAGGCTCATCAACCTCGCTGCCTGATCGGCAGACCGCAAACCAAAAAACAAACAGCGAGACAAGTACGATGCTGCCAGCCAGCCATTGCCATTTACAAGCAGAGTCTCAGCCATCCACAGGCTGGTGTCGCAGCCTGCGCAAAACGTTTCGCGCCTGCGCCGCACCTCAAACGCGCCCGCTGCTGCCGCCGCCGCCTGCGAATCCGCGTACGCCTGCGTCCGGAACGCGTTCGACTGCTGCGTCTGCAGCTCCTTGACGCCCGCCTGCGCCGCCACCAGCGCTGCCGTGAGCTGCTCGATTTGGGTCTCGAGCTCGCCCTCGCGCTGGCTCTGCTCATTCAGCTGCTTCTGCGGTCGGGCGGCGGCGGCGGAGGGGGCAGCGCGTGCGTGAGTCAATGCTGCTTTGACCATGTGAGGTGGCCCGCTGCTGCGAGCGCTCTCGCATCACACAGGCGGCGGTGAGGGCAGCACGCGCGTGGGTGATGCTGCTGCGGCGGATTGCGGGGTGGCCCACCGCTGCGAGCGCTCGCGCGTCACGCAGGCGGGCCCCGAGCGCACCTGCAGTGCCGCCGACTGCGCCCGCGCCCGCGCAGACTGCTCCTTTGCTGCGGCCAGCTGCCGCCGCGCGCCCGCCGCGTCGGCCTCCGCCTGTGCGACGGCCTCGTCGGCCGAGCACCGGGCTTCCTCCGCCGTGTCCTGCGCCTGCCGGGCAGCTTCCTGGGCCGCCTGGAGCTCCTCCTGCGCCACAGGTCAATGAGGGTGAGGGGGATGCATTGAGAGCGGGTTGCGGCGACTCAGCGGCGCAGCGTGCTGCCGGGAAAATGGGATTTGACACAATGCATCTACAAGGATGCATTTGGATCATGCAGTAGCAAGCCCGCCAGCATCCAGCACATGAGGCCCCACCACGAAAGCCTGACATATCTTCGCTACAAAGACACCACATCACACCATCATACTTGTCATTCGAATGACATCGACACACCTTGAGCTTCTCGTGTGCCAAACCCAGCTCCTGCAGCGCCGCGCGCTGCTCTTGCACGCGCGCGCGCTCCTCCAGCAGGGCCTGCGCCTCTGCGCTCTCCTCCGCCGGCCCGGGCCTCGCCGCGGCCGCCCGCTGGTGCTCCTCCAGTGCCGCGGCGAGGATGCTGGCGCGCTGCTGGCTCGCGGCCAGCTGCTCCCGCAGCTGCTTGGATTCGAAAATAGCGGTGTCCCTGGATTTAATGCAGGGGAGGCGCGGCATGCATGATGTCAGGCACGGCGATCAGTGGGTTTCAGCGACTGCGATGCCTGGACAAGGCGACAGCTCCAGCGACCCAGCGGCAAACAGGCACTTGTGCAAGCCGCTCCACCGCACACGATGCGCGCCGACCGCGACGCGGCCAGGCGGCGGCGCCCGCGCGCCTGTCTGTGAGGGCGCGCGCGTTGGACGACTGGAAGAAGGACAGCTGGCCCTCCAGCTCTGCCACCCGCAGCTGCGCGTCGCGCCACCCCTTGTCGGACTGGTGCTTGCTGTCCCTGAGAAGGTGGGCCGTGCGGCGCCATGGAGAGGAGCGGACGGCGGGCGGGCGGCGCGGCCCGAGTTTGGACCAGGCCGCAGAGGGATTGCAGCCGCACAGTGCCGTTGGGAGCATGCCACATGCGTTAGCGTGTGTGGACAAGCACCCAATCCACTCGAGTAGGATTCGCTCGTCCGCTCACTCGCCCACATGCACCCACAAGAATGCAAACGAGTGCAGCATGCGCGACACCATCCCCGCACCTGATGACGCTTCTGTCCTCAAGCAAGCTGTCCCGCTCGGCCGCCACCGCGCGCAGCTGCTGCCTCAGCAGTGCGTTGTCCTGCTTCAGGCTGGCCGCCTGTTCGGACAGCAGGTACCCGCTGCTGAACATGCGGCCGGCGCGCTGCTCGCAGAGCATCGCCACATCCCTGCAAGCACGCCCCCGGGGGTGGGTCCAGGAGCGGTACGCCGGTCAGCGCAATGGATGACGGGGTGGGCAGGGGCAGGGGCACGGCCGCAGGCGCTGGCGGCTGGGTCGGCCAGACGCTGGAGGCCAAGGTGTGGCACGCATGATATGCAAGCACCACACTGTGCAGCATGGGCCTCTCCTGCCTTGCACGTGCCCCTGCCCCTCGTCTCCCACGTGTCATGCAGCGACGCAGGCCTGCTCCACGCGCACCGCTGCAGCTGCTCGTTCTCCGTGAGGGCCAGCGCTAGCTGCTGGCGCAGCTGACGAATCGCAACGCTGTCTTCTTCAAGATTGTCATTCAACGGGTCCACTTCGGAGACAAGGCCGCCCGCCGCGCGCAAGGGCGATGTGCGCCGTGGTGACGTGCTGCTCGTGTTGCCTCCCGTTGAGGGGGTGGCGACTGGGGAGCCGAACCAGGCGGCTGGAGACGTCAGAAATGCCATGCCCATGCGTCGTGGGCTTCTGCCAGGGCCACGAGCGCGATAGTGCACGGCAGAAAGTTGTGAAGCGAACAATCACGACTGTACAAGAGAAAAAGACCGTCAAAAAAATCATTGGAGACAAGTGCCCGTCGCAGACCGTGTGCTGACAGCGGGCAGGATGCACCGGCAGCGAGAGTGCCGTCGTCGATCCACGGCAGGCAATGACCAAATGATGTTGGCCGGTGCCCTTTGAAACGATGTCAGCCTTGAGTTATAACGGTTTTCAAGCTTCACGCACCATAGCCACCGCATTTCAACCGCCTGGCGTGCCTGTCGTGCCCAGGCCCTGCCTGTTCCCACCCCCTTTCGCTCTGGTTTGCTGCGCTAGGTATCAATGGGACGGATGAAGCGTGCAAATATGTTCAGGCAGTCTGCCGCTTGTATTATCATACTCACCAAGACATGAGGCCTGCCCTTCTGCTCGCTTGTGCTCGGGCTCCAAAGCGCAGTTGTGGCCCATGTGACGCTGGTGTCAGTCATGCGAGCGTGTGGTACTTGTCTGATGGAAAGGAGTGACATCCATATATCTGAAAGGGACTGCTTCACAGGCATCTGGGTTCCAGGCATGCCAAACATGCAGGCTTGCCGTGTGCGCTGTGCATGCTGGGCGATGACGGCATCCCCCGTTGAAACCGGCACACCGCAGCGCAGCGCGATGGCTTGCGTGTTTATGCGTCCCTTCACGACAGTCTTAAATAACATCATCGCATTCCATCGTATCTTTTCGCGGATCTCCAGCGCTGCAGTCCGGCTCGCGGTCGGCTACCACGGCTCTTCGATAGAAAACGGTGAATATCACCACCTAGTCTCAAAACTATTTTGCTGCGCTCACCTCACTTTCCCAATGCTGCGTGTCGTGACATCACCGACGTCGGCGTCGAGGGCGGCAGCGGCCGTGGCAAACCGACCTCTGCTTGCGCAGGTGTGTATGCTGTTGCACACACACAGGTCGTATGATCGTGCAACCTAGAACAATTTATGACGCGCCTTTCTGTAACGCACCTGCCCTGCACAGCTGAGCTCATGCTGAGGACGCGAGCGTGCTGCAGCAAGCCAAGCAGCACCATGCGACTGCCACCTCACCTCCCGGTGCTCGCATGTGCAGGCCGGCGGCACGCGCGACCTCAACCAGCCCGTTAGCCCGCCCACTGTGCTGCCCACGGAGCCCGAGGCTGTCGATGCCACACCCACACCGCCGCCACCTGAGGAGCAGCTGCCGGGTGCGCTCAGGTGTCGGCAGCCGCTTCATAGCTTCGAGGGACACCCATCGCCAACGCACTGCTGCTTGGCAGAGGAGATTGCGTTGGTAATCACAGCAAAGATACAACACATGACTTGTGTGCATGCACCTACGTCCTCAGGCGCAAGCTGGAAACATGTATATGGGAGCGCGTTCCACAAGCAAGCACGCACGCACGCACGCGCACGCGCGCGCGCACGCACGCACGCACGCACGCACACACGCACGCACACACACACACACACACACACACACACACACACACGCGCGCGCGCGCGCCCGCGCCCGCACAGCAAACGCAAAAGGGCCCGATGACGTGACAGACCTCAAGAACATCAGCACCGATGCGGGCGAGGGCCACACACGCGCTGCCAGGAACGCGCCAGGTGCCAGCGACACGATCACGTGAGCCCGTGTAGCCTGCTACAGTAACAGCATGCTCTGTACCTGTTGTTGCGGATTGGGGGCCTGTTTCGCCTGCACAGTGAGTTGTTGCCCTGCGCAGGCCCATTTGGGTGCAGAGGCATCCATTGACAGGGTGTATCACTTGCTTGAATGTGTATTGCCTTGCCAAGCAGAGTGCCCGCAGCCCTCCGCGTGACGCTGCTTCTCTGCGTGCCCCGCAGTGGGGAGGCCAGGGAAAGGGTCAGGGCGATGCAGGATGATGGTAAGGACGACCGCAGCGCGGCGGAGCAGGCCGGCGACGCGCTGTCTGAGGGGGCCAGGCGGGTCAAGGAGGGTGCTTGGAAGGCGTATGTCAAGGTGGCGGACCAGTTTGGGTCGCGGCGCTAACTCGTCGCGGTGCCGGCGTAGACGGCTGTGATGCGGCTTTTTGGAGACGTCGCCACCGAAGCTTGTGTCTTGGTTAGAAGCTTTTGCGCAGTCTCGTGAAAAAAGTTGCATGTATGTTGCGAAACTGTTATTGTATCAAGATCCGTCGAGCACAAGCCCCGAGAGCAGCCAGAAGGGCGCAGTAGTGACGCTGACTGTCGTCATGTGTGCAAACGCCGCACGCCTGCACTTCCCCCAGTGCTTCGGATGTAGCGTTTCAAAGTTCACAAGGTTCACATTCAGATACATAATCGACTGCAAGCTGAGTGCCACGCTTGTCAGTAAGGCCGTCCAACGATACCACCAAGACCGGCGAGATCGCGACAATGGAGTGTGTCGGGGCTGGTAGATCAGATGCAGAAGCCCTATATTGTGATGGTATCACGGGAATGTGCATCAGCGTTGACGAGCAGGCGAGTTCACCGCAGGAAAGGCGCGTCGGGGCTGCAACGAGCGAGGCACAGGCTCAATTGTGCAGCGACAGATATGAATGACTTACTTAGTATGAGCGGCAGCGGTCGGGGTTGTTCGGTGTGACTCGCCGCCCCTCCGCCACGCTGCGCACGGCGTGCTGCTGCTGCAGCTCGGGCTGCTGCCGCTAATGCCAGCAGTATGCCGTTCACCAGCACAGGACGTCCATTGGCGGTGCATCGCTCTCCCATACCCCAGGCCGGCCGATTCCGTATCTGGTGCGTCTGCAGCGGTGGCACCAGCTCCGGCGCGGGCGGGCCGCGCCCGCGTACGCTTCTGGTGCGAGTTGATGACTACGCCCCTGTGATCTACATTCCCGCACCGCTGGTGCATGCACCCGAGGAGGGCTCCATTGCGCCGCGGGAGCCGGGGGAGGCTGACCTGGCGCGCCTGCAGCAGCTGCTCAACGCGAGGTGCGCTGGGCCTGCACACTCCGATTTTGGCTGTCTGCTGTTGATTCAGCCCCATGAGCCTCTCTGTTGGATCCAACAGCGCCTTGTGGCACAGGCATTTAGGACCAACAGCCGCAGGGATATGACTGCAGGTTTTTGCACCAGCAGGCCAGATATCAGTTTGAAGGTCGATGCACCGGCCAACTTGGGAAGACCAGACAGCGGCGGTGCTGGCCGCCGCGTCGATTGTCGGCCCCAAGCACCTCGCTTCGACGCGCGCGCTCGCATGCATGCAGGCTGCCGCCTGAATGCCGCGTCACCAGAGTGGAGGCGGTGGTGGCGCGGCCCATCATGTACTACAGACCAGCGTCCCCAGGCGGCGATGTGCACCTGCGCATCACGCTGCACCCGGGCGCAAACTTCAAAAGGGCAGCGGGTGCGTGCTGCAGCTGCTCCTTGCAACCTGTGGCGCAGCGTTTCTGCTGGATTCGGTTGCAGCCAGCTAGTGCTGTGCTGGCTGCTCATGTCTGGTGCCTAATTGCCTTGAGCGACAGGGCGTGATGAGACAGTGGCCTGGCCGGCTCCATGCCGATGACTTATGACCTGTCTGTGCTGGCCTCTCTGGCGCCGCTCACGCCTTGAAGCCGTATGCATTGCTGCCCCCGCCGGTTGTCCCTTGCTCGACGCCCCTCCTTGTCCCCACCCTCCTGACCGCCCTGCCTCCCCGCATCTTGCTGCCCTGCCACACCGACCGCGCCCCTGCATAACGCGGCCGACAGAGATTGTCCACAAGACAGCCTCCACTGGCGCGCTGCGCGCCCAGGGCTTCGCCTTCTCGCGCGGCAACCAGACCCTCGAGAACGACGCCAAGCTGATGCACAGGTGATGCGTGGCTCCCCAGCTTCCAAACAACGACGCGGCTGCCAGGAAGCGTCCGCTTCGCTCCGGCGCAGCTGAGGCGCCGCAGGCCCCGCAAGCGTGGCTCATCAATCGTGATCAGCACCAGCGTGCACGTCCCGTGTCCACGGGGCCGTGAGCAATGCTGGCCCCAAACCCCCTCATCGCCTCAGGTTCCTGTGCGACACCGGCCTTTCTGGCGGCGCGTGGCTGCACATTGCGCCCGCACGCGGCGGCCGCAGCGGGTACCAAACTGTGTCACCGGGGGCGCGGGTGTCGACGTGCGACCTGGAGGTGGTCGCGCCCTGGACTGCCCTGGACTGCCTGACGCCGGACGCGACTCAGCTGGCTGACGAGGCGTGGCAGCCAGAGGTGGGCGCCGCCGCCTGCTTGTCTCGTCGGGAGCGGTTGAGGACGCTTTTGGGCGCAGCTGGTGGTGATGTTGTTGCTTGAAGTTGCAGCGCTTGAGACTTCCGCCTCGCCATGCAAGAGGATGGTTTGGGGTATGGTCGTGTATCAAATTGTGTGCGCGTGTGCACTGCCAGCGCGGTCTGCACGCCAGCGCCTTATGGGCGGCCGATTGGTTGCCAGAGAGCTGATTCACTCATCAGCATGTGCTTTCAGGGCCGATCGCTGTGGCTCGACGCTAGCCTCCAGACGGGCTGCAGCAGACGCGACGCCCACTGCTTGCCACAATAGGCATGCAAGCACCTGGGCATGCATCCACCCCCCACCCACGTCGCCTACTGCCCCTCAATCCCGCAGACCACCCAGGCCGACTTTCTCCTCAGCCTTTGCCTGATTATCCTGACTCTGTCTCTCGCATCCCAACTCCACCCACCACACCCTTTCCCGAGAAAGGTCCTACGGCGTCTGGGCGCGGCCGCGCCGCCCGCGCTTGCTGCCGCTGCGCGTGCCGCCAAGGCCGGCGCGATACCCGCGCTGCGGGTGATGGGCCTCGACGTGCTGGTGGCTCCCTCGGACGGCGCGATCAGATCAGTTGACGCGTCCAAGGACCCGGTCATCTGCGTGTGCTGCGAAACAAGGGAGGTGCGGCTTGGAGCCGCGGCGACGCACGACACAGCAGCAGGAGAAGGAGGAGGAGGACCAGGACTTGAGGATGCAGGAGGAGGAAGAGGAGGAGGAGGTGGTGGTGGAGCAGCAGGAGCAGCAGGCGGGGAAGAAGTGCGCTGCGTGGTGTTCCTGCTCGCGGCGGGCCAGGGCGGAGGGGCTGGGGCAGCAGCGGCGGCGCCGGCAAGCTTTGAAGCGGAGGGCGCCGAGCTGCGGCTGTTCGGGTCGGTGAGCGGGATGGCTGAGGCATCGCTGCTCCACAGCCCGAGAGGGCTTGCTGGAAAAGGATGACGCTGTTGTCCCGCTGCTCGTTGCCGACCGCCGCCGTCTCTTGTCCTGCAAGTCTGTGCACCTGAGAGTGTGCAACCATGAGAGCATGTGCTTTGTACGAGCAGGCGCCATCGACGTTTGCGTGTAAGCAACCTCGGTTGCTGCGATCACGCTTGTCCTGCACACTTACGAAGACCCGCACTCGCGATCTCGCGCGCCACATGCAACCGCACGCCATGCTCTAACCACCGCAGGAGGGCGCCCTGCTGGCAGCTTGGAGGCAGCACGTCCTGGACTCCGACCCCGATGCGTTCACGCTCTTCCAGGTGACAGGGGAGGCACGCCGGATCCTCGTCAAACCTCCTCTTGCTCCTGGAAACTCGCGGCTTGCCGCAGACGGCGACGCAGCGCAACTGCGACGCAGCAGGGCGGTGTCGCTGGAGTTCCAGCCCGCGGGTTGGCGGGCCGTTGCAGTGAAGGCTTGCTCTCATGGGACTCGATCCTGCCCCTGCGCGACACCCTCGAACCCCGACTCCGCGCGTCAATTTTGGCGCAGGTGCGCGACAGCATGGGCGCGCTCGTGGCGCGCTTTCAGCAGCTGCGGGTGGACGGCGGCGGCCTCAACATCTGCAGGCTGGGCCGTGAGAGCCGCAAGCCGCTGGCCATCAAGAGCGTTGTTCAGTGTGAGACTTTTGCAGGATTGGGTGTTTGGGGTGTTTTTGGGGTGTGGAGTGCGGCAGGGATGGGACTTCTTTGGTTGGGTTGAGGCCCCGTCGCGCTCGCAAGGCCCTGGTATCACAGGGTGTGCAATTGAGTGAGGTGTTTCCGTTGGTGCTGTGTCTGCCGCGTGATTCTGCGGCCACAGGCCATGCATGGTGCCATCAGCGTCGGCGGCCGCCGCGACTGGATGTTGCTGGACAGCGCTTGGGCCGCTCGCACACTCCTGCATTGCGGACATCCTGCGCGTTCGGGGCCCTCTGAGCTGCTGCTGACGTCCTGACGTTGTCATGCGACACCGCCTTGCGCCCCTGCTTTCCTGCAGACTCCCCTGCATGGGTCAAATCACAGAGCAGGATGTCCAGGTGGAACCTTTTTTGCCCAATGCTTTCAGCAGGGCTAATCTACCGTTTCGACCCATGATCGTTTGCAATCTGCATGTGCTGTCGCCCCCCACACCACACTTGCCTGCGGCCCTGTGTGCCCTCTCCTTGGCGCTGCCACTCACCGGCCCGTCGCTCCGCGACCCTGTCATTTTGCAGCACGAGCAACCAGGAGACCTTCAAAGCGGACCCCCAGGGCCGGCTCGTGTTTGACGTGCTGCGGCAGGTGGGCGGTTGGCTCAGTCCCAGGAATTCAACACCCGCTCAAACGGTCTTGCACCTGGAAATACTTTCAAAATCTCGTGGTGCCCTTCCCGCCAACCTGGACCTCTGATTTTGTGGTGTCAAATCTTGGCCCGCACCCTTGAAACCCTAGCCCTTCAGGCGGCCCAAAGCTAGGTCAGCTGTTGACATAAACCCTCGCTGACCCCTGCCCCCCCCCACAGGTCCTGACGGGGCAGGGGCTGGCGACGTTCACGCTCGCGGACTGTGTGCAGAGCCTCCTGGGGGAGACCATTGAAGTGCTGGCGCCGCACACGCTCGCGGCCCTGGCACAGCAGATGGCCGCCGGGCCTGCGGGTGGCGGCGGCCGTGCGGCGGCGGCCGCCACGCTCGAGTCGCAGCGGGCGGCGGCCGTGCGGCTGGCGAGGTGAGGCGCAACGTGCAGACGCTGTTGCCATAAGGCTGCAGCCATCTCTTTCTGGTGTCGCACAGTTAGTCGCGACATGCATTCATTGGCACACAAGTAACTCACATCGATGACGTCATCCGCCCCAACCGCCAACTCTTGCAACGCAGGTACACGCGCCGCCGCGTGCTGGCGGTTCGGCGGCTGACGGAGCGGCTGGCGACCCTGCCTGAGAGCTTTGAGATGGCGCGGGCCACGGGGCTGACAGTCCAGCAGGTCCTCTACAATGCACAGGTGTGCCTGGGCGGGTGTGGATGCGAGGGGTTGCGTCTTATCGTGCTGGATGCTGCACAGTGTGTGCGTGCTTGAATCCTCGCGTGCGCGTGCGTGCGCACACACAACAGCAAGCATGCGTGCGTGCATGCACGAATCGGTCTTATAGTGGGTGACAATCTGGGTCTTTCCCCCTTTGTTGTCGCGCCTCATCTGGCCTCTTGCCCCCCCCCCCTCTCCGAAGTGCACCCTGCCCTCCCGCTCCATATGCTCTGTTCCCTCCCCACATCTGCTCCCGATGCCATCTGTGCCCCCCCTTCAAAGAGTGGGGGCCCCCATGTGCACCTGCGCCCCCTTCTCACCCTCCCCCCCGCCCACCCCGACCCTTCTCAGATGATACGCACATGGAGCCTGCTGCACCGCAACGCCCACCGCAAGGGGTGAGCGCGCCACGCCCGCCGCGCTTGCGCGTGTGTTGAGAGCTTGAGACCCGGCTGGTGCAGCTCCACCCGCGGGCTTCCCCCTTCCGCCACGCTGATGGGACGTTGCTCTCTGGGAGCTTGTACTCAACGCTTGGTGTGCAGCAGCCCGCGCTTGCACACAGTCACTCGCCGCCGCAAACCTCTCGTCGGCAGTTACATCATTGGGGGCAAGACTGCGGCCCAGGCGCTGTCTGAGTCGCCGTTCCTCATGCACCCCATTGAGGCCAACACGGCGGCGCACTACAGGCAGCCCGTCGCAATCCTGGATTTTGCCAGGTGCGCCTTGCTGCATTTAATCCCGTTTTTACTTGGGTGCCTTGTCCTGGTTTGGCCTGATGCAGGTGGCGCATGATGACAATTTCGTGCACTTTGATCCAACCTCCAAGCTTCAGCAGTCTGCCTGGGCGGCGAGGCACACGCCTGCCCTCCTTTGCCCCAAAACATGCGTTCGGGCGGTCGACGGCTGCACGGCCTGCCTCAAATGGCACCCTGACTTGCAACCTGCAGAGTTTGAACGTTGGGGGGGTTGAGTGTCAGGCCTCCCGTGGAATGATCGTGCGACGATGTGCACTTTCACATCATGCGCCCTTTCCCCCACAAGCAGCCTGTCCTTAGCAACTCCCACCTCGCAGCCCTTGGCCCCAATCACTTCCGGCCAACTCTTCCCCAACACCTAATCAGCCTGCTGGCGACAGCTTGCCATCAGTCCTCTGCACCCGCGTCCCTCTTGCCCGCCCACCTCTGTCGGCGCACCACCTGCCCCAGGACCGCCAGCACCCTGGCACCCTGCCACCATCTCACGGCGCACTGCCTGCGCACATCCTCCGCTCAGCCTGCATTCGTAATGCACTGCCTGTGCACCCCCCTCACGCAGCCTGTACCCCAGCCTGTACCGCGCCTACAACCTCTGCTACACGACACTGGTGCACCCGGGTGCGTTGCAGGCGTAGTCACGATTCGACGACGCGCCCCTCGCTTCGCCAATCTACATCCGCTAGTTGCATTAGCTGGGCTGCTCTCCAGGCGACCACAATTTCTGTGCATGCCAGGTACTGGGCTGCCCTGGCTCACCCTTTTACCAGGGAATTGCGTCCGTGATGGGCCTCGATGCACTCCCCGAGCAACACTCCCATCCTCATCCAAACGCAGAGGACCTGGCGGCGGTGGGGCGCGAGAACTGCACCGTCACGCCCACCGGCGCGGCGTTTGTGAAGCCCGCCCTGCGGTCGGGCATCCTGCCAGACATCCTGGCGGCGCTCATGACAGCCAGGTGGGGTTTAGGGTTAGGTTTGTAGGGTTTAGGGTTGAACTCCTGAACGGCAATCATGATAGCCAGGTGTGTGCGGCCACTTCTCAAACATGCACCCCATAAGCAAGCACCTGCGCGGGAGAGATCGCCGCTTTCTCGCCCTGACGCGCCAAGGCCTTCTCTCGTGGCATCCATTCCTAGTGATGGCGCAGGGATTGCGTCTGCTTGTTCTTTTGTTGCTGTATGTGTGCATTTCACGGATTGGCGGCCAACTGGAACGTGGCGCCCAGGCTTCCCCCGGCCCTTCCGAACACCAAGATACGAGCAGGGCGCGGCGACTCAATTCTGAAGGCCGGCCCTGTTCCCTGCACACACGCAACACACGCACACACACGTACATATGCACTCTCGTACAAACATGCACGCCCCCCACCCCCAGGGCCTCCACCCGCGCCCAGCTCAAGGGGGAGAAGGACCCCTCCCAGCGCGCCGTGCTGGAGGGGCGGCAGAAGGCGCTCAAGCTGACGGCCAACGCGCTCTACGGTTTCACCGGCGCCCAGGTGCGGGCGGCCCCACGGGGTGTTGTGGATCATTCATTGCTCGCCCCGGATAATGGGTCTGCACGAAAATGCGATACCTCGGACGGCGACACGCAGGCTACGCCCGCCAGGCGTGGCGTGTTGGAAGAGGCGCCGCCTCATACTCATGCCAGCGACTCACGGGGGGGGGGGGGCTATCCAGACGGCCCCCCACCTCCGCCCAGCGAGGTAATCCCTTGTCACCTGAGCGCTGCCCTGCCCCTGCTCATCCGCTGCGCAGGCGTCCCCGCTGCAGTGTGTCCCGCTGGCGGACTCCTGCCTGGCGCTGGGGGCCGCGGCCTGCAGGGGCGCGGTCGCGCGGATTGCTGCGCTGATACAAGAAGGCACTCTGGGTCCAAAGGCGGCGGGGGGGCGCGTCATCTATGCCCAGGTGTGCGCTTCAACCCCCTTCAGCACTTGATGCTAAAACGTGCATTCTTTCGCCTTATTTTGTGTGGAGCCTCCCACACGGCTCCTTCAAAGGCTTTCGTGTTCACGAGCATCTTCCCCAGCGACGCGAGACGGCCAACCCCCCTTGCGGCTGCTTGCCTTTACGCCCACCTTACTGTTTTCTTGCCCCTCACCCGCCCGTCACCCGTCGCGTCACCAGACGGACAGCGTCTTCATCCACTTCCCATCTGCCTCGCCCGCCGAAGCCATCGGGCTTGGCCACGCCGCGGCGGCGGCGGTCACGGCCGGGCTTACGGCCCCAATGGAGCTCAAGTTTGAACAAGTGGCGGCGCCATTCCTCCTGCTGCACGTCAACAGGTGAGAGCAAACGGCCCTGGCCATTTGGATGTTGTGGGGTGAAAGGGTCCAGGGATCGAAGAGATCCGAGAGGCTCACTTTTTAGGGGCGGCAGGTTAGAGCCGGAGCGCTTCTGGGGTGCAGGCGTTGTCCATTCCATCTGGGTGGGTCTGTGGAATCATGAAACTGGTGGCTGCGTGGCATCAAAGGGCCGGGAGGGACCCTCTGAAATTCTGTGACAGCCGTTGCAACACAGCCAACGTCCCTGCCACACTCAATCTCGCCTTCAAAGGTACGCCGGCCGCGCGTTCGAGACGTCCTCGCAGGCGGAGGAGGGGAGGGGCTCCCTGATGATCAAAGGCATCAAGGCGGTGTGGCGCCAGAGCGCACCCCTGATCGCCAACACGCTGCAGGCGCGATAGAGGCGGATGTTGCGGGCGCAGGGCGGGGGGAGGGGATGTTCATCTTGCGGGGGCGTCTGGGTCACATCGCACGGGATGAGGTGTGTGTGCATGTTGCAGGGACGCATGGGACCACGTCTGCCTGTGCGACGCATGTACAGTCGTGCATGGCGCGCACGTCGTTTGCCACCCTGCGTTTCTGCCTGCGGCAGTGGTGCATGGTGCTCGTCGCGCGGCAGCGGCCCACCCCTACCATCGCACGCGGCGACATGCGGATCCCTCCACTTGTCCTTCGCCCACCTCACCCCGCCCGCCAGGGTGTCCTGGACAGGGTGCTGATGCACGATGACGTCAGCGGCGCGGTCGAGGTGGTGGAGAGGCAGGTGGGGGCGGGGCTGGGCGCGCTCACCTCTCAGCCAAGCGGCTTAGCTTGCAAGTTTGGGGCTTTTTTGGGAGTGTTGTGGGAGGGGGCTTGGCTGTTCGCCCTCCACACACGAGTGGCGTCGGGTACTGCTCTCACGACCCTTTCGGGGGCGCACGTTGAGCGTTTCGTCGAGCGACTAGTTGACCATGCATGCTTGAGGGTTCATGCATGAACCATCGCAGACGCACACGTGCTTGCCCACCCGCGCGTGCACACACGCACACACGCACGCATGCAAACCCACACACCTGGGCGTAACACGCAGGTGCGCCGATTACTCACCGGAGATGTCACTCTGTGGGAGCTGACCATGACCGGCGGCCTCTGGCGCCTGACGGGGCAGCAGGTGGCGGCGGCCGCCGCGGCGGCAACTCTGGAGGAAGACGAGGACGAAATCGGACACAACGGCGGCGGCGGCGGCGGCGCAGGCGCCGGCGCCGCTCCCGGCGGCGCCAGGGGAGGCGGGAGGGGGGCCGGCGGCGGCGGGGCGGCGCAGGAGGCCGCCGTAGCTGCGGCGGCGGGGGGCGGCGAAGATGTGAAGGGGCCGCACGCGAGCCTGGCGGTGCGGCTGACTCAGCGCGACCCTGACAGGAGCTTTGTGCTGGGGGAGAGGCTGCCGTATGTACTGCTGGCAGGTGGGTTCCTACTGCGCATCTGTACTGCTTAGGCCTGCAGTTCGGGAGCTGTGGCTTGTGGCGGTGAGCTGTTTGGGTGCAGTGGCTGCTGGTGCAGGCAGCTCAAAGCCGCGTTGTGGCCGCGGCCGTGCGCGTCTGGACATAAGATGCAAAGCTGGGCTACCACCTGCGTTCTTATGCCCTCGCCGTTTCTTAGTCCTGACACTCCCTGCATGCACCGACTGCGCGCGCCACACACAGGGAAGGCTGTGCGTGGCCGTGCTCGCGAGCACGCACACGAACGCACGCACACACACATACACACACCACACCACACACACACACACACATACACTCACTTGCGCACACATACGCATGCGCACGCCTACACACATGCTCAAGCTCATGTACGCATGGACACGCGCACATTCCCGCGTGTCGTCATCGTCCAGGTGCCCGCAAGCAGGATGACGCGGCAGAGGACCCCCTGACAGCGTGCCTGCAGGGCCTGGCCCCAGACACCAAGCTGTACTGGACCAACAAGCTGCAGGTGAAGCATCGCTGGGACCGCGGCGCAAACAGTCCATGCGTGGGGCGGGCTCCGGGGGTAGGCAGCCTCCGACTCTGTGTAGAGGGATCGTTTTTTCACATAAGGCAGCCTGCACGCCGGCGAGCCAACGCAGATGTGTGCGTGTGGATTGTGTGTGTGTGTGTGTGTGAGTGTGTGTGTGAGTTTGTGTGAGGTTGTGTGAGTGAGTGTGTGCGTGCGTGTGTGCGTCGAAGCAGCGCTTGCTGAGCGATTGACTGATGCAGCTCCTGCCAGAGTGCTCAGTATGCAGCTTCCACTCCTCCCCTAGTCTGCCCCTGCCAATCACGACCGTCTGTGTGTTGAGACCACGTTCATCAACCCGCTGCCTCTCACAGCCTCCCTTGAACTTTCTCAACCGCCTCAACCGCCTCCTTGCGTGCCACAACCCCCTGCAGCCACCCTTGATGGAAATTCTGAAGCTGGTCCTCTCGCCAGCTCAGCAGCGCGCGCTGCTGGACGGCCCCCACACGCGCGTGCGCTCCTCGGGGGCAGCGGGGGAGCTGCAGCCCCTCGGAGCCCCGGCAGCCTCCTTTGGCCTCAGCGGCGGCGGTTTTGGGGTAGGAAGCAGCGGCGGCGGCGCCGACGGCATGGCGGCAGCAGGGCTGGCG